AGTTACATCTCTTCTCTGATGCCAGTGAGATTGCATATGGCACAGTTACTTACCTCAGGTTGCAAAACAACAAGAACAAGGTCCTTACTACTTTCATACTTGGCAAAGCAAGGGTGTCTCCACTAAAACAAGTAACTATTCCTCGCTTAGAACTGACAGCTGCAGTTTTTGCTGTTAAAGTGGATAAGATGCTAAGGTCAGAGCTACAGCTTCCTTTGGGGAAAGTCACAGTTCTGGATGGACAGTACATCAGTATTGAAATACATAAAAAAATGAGGATAAAAGGTTGCCAATTGAATAGCAACCATCAGAGACGTCTCAGACATTGCACAGTAGAGATATGTTCCATCAGCACAAAACCCAGCAGATGACGCCTCTAGGGCACTCAAACTTGAACATTTGGTTCAAAGGAGATGGATTGAGAGTCCAAATTTTCTGTGGAAAGAAAATGAGTGGCCAGCACATACACTGGATACAGACATTGATGATGACCCAGAAGTTCAAAGGAACTTCACGGTGAATGCAGTCGTCATTGAAGATGTCTCGAGTGCCACGCATAAACTGATCACTTACTTTTTCAGTTGGAAAAGGTTGAAACTGGCTGTAGGTTAGATTCCCAAATCAAGAATGATCCTGACAGCTTTAAGTAAGGAAAGGAAGCAGCTACTTTTGGCAAATGGCGAAGGAGTCAACCGACAATTTGGTCATGCAGAAATTTAAAGCCACAATAGGAGGACAAAGGTTGTCTGCAGATGATCTCACTGAATCAGGGACCTCGATTGTTTGTTTCAGCCAATGGGAAAGGTTTCACAACGAGACTGTTGCATTAACATCTGGTAGGTCCAAGGTAAAGAGAGAGAGCCCCATCTATAAATTTGACCCAGTTAATGAAGAAGGGTTTTTAGAGTTGGAGGACAGCTAAGCAAACCATGCATGGCTGAAGATGCAAAGCACCCACTCATTCTAGGAACAACATATCTCTACTCTTATCCAACGGAGATTAAAGTCAAATGCAACTGGACTTCCAGCATCAATGAAACAAATATACCTAATGCCTTTTGATTAGGGCTGAAGCTAACGATGATTTTAGTATTCGAAGCTTCGATAGATTATTTCAATGATCCATTGATGCATCGTTTAAGAAGTAGTTGTGTTCACAGTGTAAATGCGATGTGCAACAGTAATAAATGTCCGTGCGAAACACTGTGCTGTATAGTTAAATGCATTAAATGAAGCATTGATGCAAAGAATTTGTGTCAATGCATTTTATTAATCAATTTTATCGATTTAATCAATTAATCGTTTCAGCCCTACTTTTAAGAGAAACAATGACCAAGTGAAACAACTGAGGGCTTCATATGTTCAGGTACAGCAGTATATACTGTACTACTGTTACTATTTGATGCATCGACAACTTAAAAATTTTTTTTTTAAAAATTGGTGATTGTAGAGGATGTCTTCACCTGATCACAACTTGATATGATATGATATATAAATGTTGGGTAACGAAAGTGTATTGATTAATGTAAAAACTGTGTAATCTCCCCTTTTCTACTGAATAGTACCATTTCGACTCGGCTCGACTTGACTCGCCTTTGTTTGGTTTTCCATTGTGGAAAAGTTGTACCTGCTTCCAGGTACTTTTTTTCGGATCACCTCCGTTGAGGTTCCAAGACAGCAGACGCGATACTAAAATGTGACGTGAAAACACGGCGGATTGGTCAGAGAGAATCGTCACTGTTCACTGCGTCATCATTGCGCGTGCCAGACAGGCCAGCAACAGAGAGGGCCTCCCTACCTACTTCCACTCCGTTTTCCCGTACATGCGGAGGGTCCGCTACATTGAGTGCCATCCGAAACCAATGAGGGCGGAGTGGTAGTGGATTGTTAAACCCTCAGATGCCGAGTGAGCACCGATGCTGGCTTGCTGAAGGTGTGTAACACCCTTTGCTGCATGATGGGGGACCTTTCTTTCACATGCGAGTTCCGCGTTACTCTGCGTTAACATGTAGGATTTTTTAATTACGAAACTACACTAACTTTTCATATCACCATTCACAGGTTAACAATGTAGCCCAAATGTTATGTTGAATTAAAAAAGTCTGATAGACAATAAAACTGTTGTTTTTACTGAATCATATTCATCTCATGCGAAAATCTTCAGCCAAGACACAGTGTCTCACAGTGTGGAAATTGTGTACAAGTAGCATAAACAAGTATCAGACAAGAAAGTACCGTTCTTACAGTAAATAAAAACAATGTGCGTTGTCATGTTTTTTTTTCTTCTTTCTTTTATGCTGCAACATGCTGTGTTCTTAAAGTGGTATGTAAATAAAGTTATAATTATCTGGTGAGTGAGCAAACACAGTACACTTTTATAGTAAGCAGCTGATATGATGACCAGAAGTCACACATGGGGTGTAAGATTAGACAACATAGCAGAGACAGACAATAATGAAGACATTTTTCATGATGGTAAAAGGAAAAGTCAACACTGACTGAGCTGTCAGACACATACAGTGTAGTGCAAGTCACACATGCATACATTTTGTCTCTACAAAATAATTACACATTTTTTCAATTGCTAACCTGCATCGGTCAAAACTGAAGTCACATTATCAAAACTCTTCTTCTTCACAGTCAGCGAAACAGAAGTATATGTGGACCAAACTGTGAATCATTTTGCATTGCTTTCACACAAAATGCACTCAATGACCACTGTAGTGAAGACCCTCAATTCAATTTATCTTTATTTTGTTCACTTCCTTTACCTCACTTCCTTTAGTTCATGTTCTTATTACTGATTGGCTCCCACTTCCACCTTTCATTCCTCCTAATTGAGTTGATTGAGTTCACCTGTTCACACTATTTAAGGACTGCACTCCCTTTCACTCGCTCTTTCACTTCCACATGGGCGGCAGTTCTGGTAAGAAGTTTAATTTACTCTTTAGTTGTATCCTATGTCCATGAAAACTTAGTTTAGATGTCTGTCTCCTTATTTCCGTTTGCTTTCTTTCAGATCGAACAACTCGTGTGTCTTTCTTTTCCCTCATTGTGTTGGAAGAAATAAAATGTTTTTCAGAGGATATTCATAGTTTCCTGGCTTTCTTCTGCACATTGTGACCGATGTGCCCAATGACGATAGCGAATGTACCCTTTTGAACCCCTCCTACTTTACAACCACTTTCTCCAAAATCCATGGACTCTTTTCTCATCACTACTTCACTACCTGTAAAACTCTACATATTTGCAGCACATTTCAAATGCTAACCCACTGTGTCCAAAACTGTTAACACATTCAAAACAGAATGACTGCAAATGTCCTGCATTTTTGCAGTAATCAGACTTAAATATATAGCAGAATGTTTACGAACATTTTATGTCTGTGTGTAGAGAAATGTGTTTTGAATGAGGTTTTACTGCAAGCTGAGTGCAAAGCAGGAAATGTGCTTGTATTTTAGAATTGTGGTTTAAGTGGCTGGTACGTCAGTTACAGGCTGTGGAGAGTGTATCAGTTTTACTGTGTAAACTGAGAAACTGTGTTGCAGCACTGAAATTTCAGGAACTTTTTGCACAATAACTGAATGCAGTGATATAGGAAAAAAGGATATTAAAGCAAATTTTGGCATTTCTGATTTATTCTTGTTACATATACTATAGTAGAGTCAATGAAGTGAAAATGTTGTTGTTGCAGCTTTTCTCAGTTGCTTTGGTACATTTCTAGAATCATTCCTAACACTTGCAAAACTACTTGTAAACTAAAGCAAGGTTTGGATGACAATGATTGAAAATGCACAAGGCTGCACTTTTTCTGTATGGCATCAATTTCAACAGTACAGTGTTATACTTTGCAAGAGATTGGACAGGATTCAGTTACACTTACTGTATGCACTAATTTGTTGACAGGGCATGTCATTGTGATGCAGGAAAAGACTAATTTATATACCACTATAATACATTGTGATCAACATGACATAAGCAATTGATAATGTAAAGGAAACAGAAGACAGTTGTACATAATCATTTGCATAAGTTTCAAAGAATTTGCAATTTCTCAAGACTGAGCAATGTAAAGGCTGAACAAGTAGAAATCAGTCACATTTTGAAGTTAAGTTATATTTAAGTAATGCTTTCTGTTGTGGATTTTTTGTAGGTAAATGTGTAATGATTGACAATGTTTGCATTCTGAGTGAGAATTGTTAGCAGTGTTTTGGTTAAATGAGTTTATTTTGAGACTTGTATGAAGTGTTTTGGGGGTTTGAGTGACTTTTTGGAGGTGAGATTAACTGTTTGGCCAAGATGCATATTGGTAATGCAGACTGTGTGAAGAGTTTTGAAAAGTGGCTTCAGATTTGACCATTGCATCTTAGCAAAAACACTATTTGTATAAACGGATCTTCTGCACAACTCATTTCATTTTAAGTGAGCATGTCTGATTCTGTTAATTTCTTGATTCTTAGTAATGTAAATGGGTAGTAGAAAGGATATCGGTAGGTTATAAAGGCTACTGACTACAATCTTCACCTTGATGTATTTTATTCAGTTATTTACATTACACCTTCAGGCTTTTGAAAATCAGGTTTGGAATCTGATCAAAGAAAGACAGAAAGCTACTGTCCACACTTTACACAATACACACAGTAATACTTTGGTAACCTGTGCGATATCTGTTAAGTCATTTTGCTTAGGATATAGGTTTCAGAAGTGGGGTGGGGCACAATTACAAGCTCTTCAACCTTCAAAGTATAGAAATTTAATTTTCTCAAATTGCAGCAGAAGTGGGGGGCACATTTTTGAGCCCTGAGTATTATCTGCGGTCTTCCTCACAAGCGACTTAAAGCCAAACCAGCAACTTCCACCAAAAGCGTAAGGCAGCAGTTCACAGTAATAAGTGAAGGACCTATGATCAACTCATAGCTTCTCCCATTTACATTTTGGCTGCTCTGGGGTACTTTAGTAAATAATCTAAATTAATCTAAAAAAATGATAAACATGCACAATTTGTGAACCACAAAGTGTTTAATGATTTTCTGACAGAGTTGATATAATAACATTGTAGGAAAATATGCATCCAATTTAAATGCAGATGAAATGGGCTGTACAACTTAATGCAATGATTCTTGATGTTGTCCACATTCCAGACAGCAAGCAACATGTTTTGCAGATCCTTCATGAGGGTCTTCAAAGCTGTTTCTAATGTTATTTTACATGTTTTGTTAGCTCTATTTAAAACATTCAAGAGTGCTTACTTCGTAATAAGAGTACAATTCGTGTTGGACACTGTCCGTTGTCTTTTCACTGTATATACCACCTTACATGGAAGACTCTTCTGGTCAGATCTCCTTTCAATCTTTGTAACTTTAAAGACCTCGTAAGGAGGAATCAAGACTTCATTCTCTGACTTAACGGTAGAGTGCTCCGAGATATCTGCTCCAGAGCATGTGAAAATCTTAAAGCATGACTCGTCTCCAAATCTTTCAGCGCTGGGGTACCCACCCATAGCGCTGGAGGTAAAAGAGCCAAAGCGAATCTCCTTGTTGAGAACATCTTGGGATGTAAAGGAGCTGTTGACTCTACGGTAGCCAGTGAAACATTTCGCATTTTTATTGAGTGTTTGAAGGGCGTCAGTCAAGAAAAAGTGAAGTGCGTGATACCTGAATGTGGTGTTGTACTCAAATCTTTGGGTTCGAACTGCATTATTGAAATCAAGATAGATTTTTGGTTCAACGAGGGTATACACATAAATAGCTACTTTCCACATGGCAGGAGGATTTTTTTTATTTTTAGGCTTCAATGCATTTTCAGCTTTGTCCCAGGCCTCTTTGAATTGTTTGTCTTTGTTTTTCTCATTCTGCAGGTATTCTTTTTCCACCTTCTTCATTTTGTCTTTGCAGCCATCGTACATGTCATCAACAGAATTTGGAGCCATGTCAAGTTGAAGGATTTCATTTAACCCAGGTTCAGCTGAGTCCTTTAAAGAAATAAGAGATTATAAGAATAAACTATGCTGTTATATGGCCATCTTAATAATACATCAGTGCTCAGCAATTACATTTTAAAAAAGACATCATTCAGAATATACGGTACCATTGCAATTCCTACAGAGATTCCATAGGTGATCAGCACTGCTGCCCAAACTGCCATCACTGCCACCCTCCACCAAAGTAGAAACCTGGAGACACTGTTGCTAAATAAAATAATCCCTGATGTGGTCTTGCCGAATCTAGCACATACACCCTTCAATGAGACAGCATAGTCTATCTCTGCAGTCTTCACTGACTGAGAGGATCTAATACACTTATATAGTAAACAGTTACGGAAGTTAAACATTGGGTGTAAGATGCCCAGCTCATTAATGCCATACAATAAGGAAGAGACACTTTTGCAAGATAAACATGACCATAAAAAGGGAACATAGGGGCTCATCTTCACAACTCTGCAAGCTTAGAGCAGAACTAAGCATCCACTTCAGACCACTTGACAATTCAAAGCAAATCTGCCACTGCTGAAGTAGCAACAATTTAAGCTGACGTTATGAGAGCCAACAAGTCTCCTCCTGTTTAACAGCTTCACTAAAGTATCTGTACAGTCAGACATCTTTCTGTCTGATGTTTGCAAGTTTGACTGTACATTGCCCCCAGTTTTGCATATTAACATGCAAAGTTACTCTTTCCATAAATAAGATTCTTGTAATTTTCTGTGTAAAGCATTGGATGAATGATGAAGCAGCAGGTTACTAGAGACTCATAGCGTTTTTATTTGCTTCCTTTCTTAAATTCTGTCCCCTCCCTTCCCAAATCAGAAAGCAGGTTTACGGTCTCCCACACTTTCTTTGATCAGGTTTGGAATCTGATCAAACAGTGAAGAAATAAAGGCTACCTGTATACAACAACTTAGATTTCACACACTAATAATGGTGAGTTGTTGCAACCTCCAGGGTTGGCTCATGTATACTCTGTCACAAGCTTTAGTTATTTTACTTTACATTGAAGCAACATTGTGTGACGGCCACGCAGAATTCACACTGCTGTTGGTGTGCTTTCTGTCTCCATGTTGTGCTGTAAAAACAAAGACAAGAAACCAGACAAACAAAGGAAGCCGTGAGATGAGGAGGTCCAACCCAAGACTGACTGCTGCTCTGGCTTTTATGCATGGGGCACACCGGGCCCTGGGGCCTGTACCACGAAGCGAGTTCAACAAACCCAGGATATGTTTTCGTTATCTGGTTTAACTAACCCTAACAATCGCGACCGGGATAAGCGGTACCACGAAGCTGGTTATAAACTTGGTAAATAAACCCAGGGTTTCCCAAACCAGCCGGAAGTGCGTTCACATAAAAGAGGCGGTGTTAGCAGCAGATGACCAAGTCCACTGTCAGCAGAGTGTCATGTTTTATGAACGAGGATTAAACTCTACAGAAATATGACAGTAGCACGCCTGCAGCTGACACTTGCAGGGAGACAGAAATTCGCCGACAGTGTGAATTCCTAAATTAACAGGCCTAGCAATCAATTACACGGTTAAAAGACGTCTAATAGACGTCTAAACAGAGCCCAGACATTTAGGCTAAAACAGCTCTGCATTTGGGCTGTCTGTGAAAGTTTGGTAGACGTCTAACCATAGCCCAAAAATAGTCTAGTCATCAATTAGACCACCACTGAATGGCTACATATAGACGGGTATTAGATGGTGAAAATGGGTTTAGGCTAAAACAAGTTTGAATTTGGGCTGTCAGTGAAAAGTTAATAGACGTCTAACCATAGCCCAAGAATAGACCAAACACACAGCTTTTGAATGACTACATATCTACCTCTAATAGACAACAGAATAGTGGTTCAGAATAGTGATTGTTTTTACTTAAACATAACAGGTTGTCATGAATGGTAATCCGTCCAAACAAATTAAATATAAAGTTTTTATTAAGAAAAAGGATTACAATGTAGACAACTTAAGATAATACAACATGATGAAAATATAAAGGAATTACTGATATTTTTATAAATACAAACAATTTTAACAACATGCGGTAATAAAAATGTAAATAATGAGAAAATAAATGGGTTGGCTACATCCAAATCTAGATCTTCATCTACGCTGCTACTGGATGCAGCAAGAGCATCAGATGGGTCTCTCGGTTGGCGGCAGTCTCTCGGGTAAATGGGATCCATAACTGTTGAATATGTAAGAATATGAATATAAGTAAACATATAATTGACTATGTTCACTGTTTTCCCACAAGACATGACTACTATCAACAAATTATTTCAAATGAAAACATACAGTATATTTCTAATTATCATTCTAATTAAGTTAAAAATTGCCTCGGCCTTTCTGTGTGGAGTTTGCATGTTCTCCCCATGTCTGCGTGGGTTCTCTCCGGGTACTCCAGCTTCCTCCCACCATCCAAAGACATTCAGGCTAGGTTAATTGGTGTCTCTAAATTGTCCTTAGGTGTGAATATGAGTGTGAGTGGTTGTCTGTCTATGTGTGGCCCTGCGATGGACTGGCGACCTGTCCAGAGTTGACGATGGATGGATGATGAAGGTAAAAAAAATTTAAAAAAATAAAAAAGTAAAGAAAATTTATTTTATAACGTTTTTTTCCTTTTAATTTAAAAGCCCTTATTTTTTAACTTACTGACCGATTTACCGCTATGGAAAATATAAAGATACTTGAACAGGACACATTTTAGCCATCATGTTGCATTAGAACAACCAAATAGACAATTAGGCGGTGGGCCAACGGCAGATTTCACGTATTTAGATGATCCCCATCGAGGGAGGACCCGGTTTTTAACTGACAACTTCTACAGTTTTCAACAAATGAAACTAAATTTGTTGCCACTCGTGCTTCTGGCATTTTTTGTTTATCAGTAACTTTATCCAACTTACTTTTTCTATCTCTGCAGTCTTTACTGACTGAGAGGATCTAATACACTTATATAGTAAACAGTTACGGAAGTTAAACATTGGGTGTAAGATGCCCAGCTCATTAATGCCATACAATAAGGAAGAGACACTTTTGCAAGATAAACATGACCATAAAAAGGGAACATAGGGGCTCATCTTCACAACTCTGCAAGCTTAGAGCAGAACTAAGCATCCACTTCAGACCACTTGACAATTCAAAGCAAATCTGCCACTGCTGAAGTAGCAACAATTTAAGCTGACGTTATGAGAGCCAACAAGTCTCCTCCTGTTTAACAGCTTCACTAAAGTATCTGTACAGTCAGACATCTTTCTGTCTGATGTTTGCAAGTTTGACTGTACATTGCCCCCAGTTTTGCATATTAACATGCAAAGTTACTCTTTCCATAAATAAGATTCTTGTAATTTTCTGTGTAAAGCATTGGATGAATGATGAAGCAGCAGGTTACTAGAGACTCATAGCGTTTTTATTTGCTTCCTTTCTTAAATTCTGTCCCCTCCCTTCCCAAATCAGAAAGCAGGTTTACGGTCTCCCACACTTTCTTTGATCAGGTTTGGAATCTGATCAAACAGTGAAGAAATAAAGGCTACCTGTATACAACAACTTAGATTTCACACACTAATAAAAATAAAATAAATAAATAAAAAAGTAAAGAAGTTTTTTAACTTACTGTCCGATTTACCGCTATGGAAAATATAAAGATACTTGAACAGGACACATTTTAGCCATCATGTTGCATTAGAACAACCAAATAGACAATTAGGCGGTGGGCCAACGGCAGATTTCACGTATTTAGATGATCCCCATCGAGGGAGGACCCGGTTTTTTGCTGACAACTTCTACAGTTTTCAACAAATGAAACTAAATTTGTTGCCACTCGTGCTTCTGGCATTTTTTGTTTATCAGTAACTGTATCCAACTTACTTTTTCCGGCAATAAGAGCGGACCGCTATGTCTTGGGTCCGATTTACGTGACGTATATTTTGTTATTATCCAATGGCGTGCTTGGAAAGGTGCAGGACTGCGGAAAACCCGGAAATAACGCGCCGAAGCGACTGAGACAACAGTTAATGGCTAAATACGTTGATTTAAGTTATTAAATCAATAAGTAAACTCGCGCTAAGCTTTAAATAAAGCTAAAATAAAAATATATTTACGCTGTAATCATGGAACGTAAACATTTGGTCTTCAGCCTTTTGTGTTAGCTTCATTGCATCTTGCCTGTTGTCACATCTTCAATCTGGCGATTTTACAATCAAATGTCCATTCAAACTGCAAAAACAGAGGATTTACCACAAGTTAACTGTCACTCTGCTTTGTTATTCGCCTTAAACTGTAAATGTTTGCACTTATAAATCTAATGCTCATCTAAATAACTGCCATATAAACAGTCTTTATTACATTTATATCTTGTCATTATATAGGTTTTTTTGTTTCTTATGCACCAAAGCCCCAAGGGCAAATTCCTTGTATGTATAAGCTTTACTTACACATACAACTCTACATGGCAGTATAACGTCAGCTGATTCTGATTAATAGCTCCATTGTATTGTTAAAAAACCTCACCTGTCAATGTTAATATGATGAACTACGTCACATAATCATGCCAACCACCAGACTGCTCCTGTACTCATCCACGTTTGCTAAGGTCACATGTATAAAAGAAACAGGGTGCTGTGTGCATGTAGAGAAAACTGGACCAATCATTCCTTTTACAGACGCAGGATGGGAAAGTGTTTTCATTCAGTGTTTTTACAGAAATACCTTGGGACTAGAAGGGCTTGCAGCTGAAGAGGCAGTGTGAAGATACAATTAGAAAACCTAAAAACCTCCTGCTATATCAGCTCACACTGGCTACCCCAGACACAGCTAGAGCCATTTCACTAACATCACAAAAACAAAATGAGCCCAGGAACGAAGAGAGAAGGCAGTTTAATTCAAAAAGAGATGTAAAAGAAGTTTGGTGTCAAACATGCAATGCATGAGTGTGAAGGTGGATCTTGAACTTTGAATCTGTTAAGGAAACAAAGAATGGAAATTAGGAGCACATTACAATATGTCACACATTACATTTTGAGAACCAAAGTTCACTGTGTGTAAACAAACTGTTACGACACAAGATATTAGCAATATAAAACACCATCTGTACTCTTGCACCTTTGTGCAGTGAAAGAGAATTTAAATTGCACTGATACTGATAACAGAGTACTTCATTAGATACCTTGCATAAAATACCAACTGTTGAAGCCGTAGTAGTTCATTGGTAGCCTAAAATAATTGTATGGTTGTTATGGACAAGCAAGGAGATTATTTCTTTTTTTAAATAACTGCTTTATAAACACTTTGGGAAATTGTATCAGATCGCTTCTCATCCTACTTCGGTCATTCTCAGAGGTAGGATGACAGCTTGGAAGTTTTTTTGTATTTAAATGAGAGGAGTGACCACATACATTTATTGAAAGTAAACAGAATTATTTTGTTATCTTTTGATTATTAAACTGAATTGAAAGATCTCAAAACAAGTAAGGAGTCTGCTAAACAAGTCACTAAACTATACTAAAGAGTCTAAAGAAGCAAACAGCAAAGACAGGCTGCACATCCAGCTGATCACAGTGACTACACCTGAAGCAGCTGCAGCCGGAGGCTCCGTGAGTAAAATCAGCTGATCGCTGCTGCGCCACAAGAGCTTTAATTGATGTGATCGAAAGGTGACAAGTGATAAAACCAACGGAAAACCTAGCTTGTGGTGATAAAATTGCAACAGTGACAAACATGCCTGAGACGGCAGCTGAAGGTGAGGTGACGCCTGTGAATCACACATGAACTTATAGAGTCAACTCATGGAGTTAACGTTACACTAATGTTAGGTTACACTTGCAAGCAGCATGTTAAGCTAACCACAAAGTGCCTTACTCTACACTGTTACCCGCTGAAATGTCACGGTTCTACACGTTAACAGATAACTTACATAAATAATGAAGACACAGTCAAACAAAGACACAGATACTTACAAGACCAAAGTAAATGTCTTTTCGCTTCCAGTGTTTGCAGTAAACTCTAGCCCGTTGCTCGCTGAAAGGCCGAAATCGTAACGTAACCCTCGTTTAAAAATGGCGGATGTGTTTATCGTGAGATCTGGCAACACTGATGTCTACTAACTTTCAAGTCTCGCGTTGCCAGTAGTCATGTCTCAGTCTTTTTATATACAGTCTATGGTCTCAGTAGGGCTACAGCTGCCCTCTAGCGGTTGGAAATAGTAATTGCATCTCGTTTTAAATTAAAATGAAAGTTAATGCAGTGAACGTTAAAGCGAAAATAAAGATAATTTAAATGTTTCATACGTTTACTTGCATTTGATGATATGATATCACGCACCTCAACAGCTGCATCGGGTGAAAACTACATGTAACTAATTTGGTCTGAAACAGGGCTACAGCCAAGCCGTTGATATTATACTACTAGTTGCCTCCATTTCGCCGGTAAGCAGACTACACATAGCCTGTCCAAATAAGAGCTAAATCGTAGCTACAGATAGACCATGTCAACTTAATGACACTTAATATCTTGTAGATATTATTGACATTGCAGAAATAATGGGATATCAACCATCTCACGTGCTGCCAGGGCAAAACCCCACTTTTAATCATTTTTAACTTTTTTGACTAAAAGTGGGCTACAAATAGCCGGTCTGTCTACGAGCTAAATCGTGTCCGCACAGGCTGCGCGTAAATCATGTGAAAGAAATGAAACAAAAAACCTTGTAATCACTGTAGACCTTGCTTAAATGATGGAATATCATACACCTTGCAAGTTATTTTGGCAAAAACGCCATGTAACCACATGTAAAGTTATTGTGGCTAGAAGTGGGTTAGTCGGACTAAAGGTCTATAGTAAACCCAGACGGTGAAATGACGGCTATTGCTTGCTGGGAGTCTATAATAATGCGTTGATTTGATGTGTTCTTATGAGCTGAATGAAAATATAAACCTTATTCTTTCAGCTCGGCTGTGTGTCAGCGTTTCCACATTAAAAGACACGGGCCTTTCCACCTCACTTTTAAAAACTTGTCATCACTGAAAAAATTAGATTTATTTATTTATTTAACACACTCAAAAGTTTTCCAAACATTGTTCTAAATTAACTTCATAAAGTAATGAAAGGAAAACTCCATTCATGCCAGAAAATGTGCTCAAATAGGCCTAGTGTTTGAAAGACTGAATCTCAACATTTAGGCTACTGAAAACTCACCTTATTACCTGCACCCACATCGCAAAAGGTGGGGCAGAACATGACTACAGTCTCTGTAATAGGCCTAAGAAAGCCATACTAACCTAAAATAAATACCCTACCTTCATATTAAAATTTACAAATTTTTTTTGTAACCAAACTGCTAATAATATTCAGCCTCACATAAGAAAAATAAAACCCATTTAATTTAACGGCTGTGAAAGGGACTGGGATCAAATAAAAAATATTAAAAACATTTCAAAGCAGTAAGTAGGCTCAGCCTACTGTAAAAACCTGTAGGAAACAATAGCCTAAGGCTTTTAATCAGTCTCTGTAGGATGACATCGCTTTAACCTACAAGAGTTTCTCCATATAAACGCAGCAAACATAAAGCAGCCTATAGGCTAAAACAGGCTGTGGGATTTCCTACAGGTGGTGATGTCATTTTCCAAGAGAGCTGATTGGTCAGTTGGCGACGTTTTCATAGAGTTGATCTCTTATCTGGAACATAACCTGCTCCGGAGCAGGTTAGCCATTCAGCATAAGTTACCATGGCGATCTACCCCGGTAAGAAGTGAACCACCTTTGTGGTACTGAAAACTCAGGGTTAAGCCCGAAGTTACCTGGATAAGCTCAAATCCTGCTTCGTGATACAGGCCTCAGGTGTGTCCCATGCCGCTGATTACCCTGTCAATCAGGTCTACAGTCCTGGAGACAGAAAGCACACCAACAGCAGTATGAACCCTGCAGAGGGGCCGTCACATTCACGTTTCATTCAGCCCTGAAAGCATAGGGACATTATGTGACACAGCCCCATTCAATTGGCGGCCCGCTGGGTCACATCCAGCCCAGAAGTAACCTCCATGTGGCCTACATGTAGCATACATCTGATTTGACAACATAATTAAACTAGTGGAAAAAGCTAACTAAGAGAGAGCTATTTTGTTTCCTTCTCCTCTCTCTTGAGAGTTTCACATGAGCTGTACCGATAATCGCCAGGCCAGGGCTCAACAATAAGGACTGCCTGACCTGCAGCCTCTCTGTGTCTCTGCAGAGCACCTCCACTCCACATACACACAGATCAGCTGACGTACTGAAGTTGATAACAACTACGCTTGTTAGTGTGAGTACGTGGTGCAATAAAACCTTTGCGAGTAAAAAGACAATACTTCATCAATAAACTTGTTTTTAGTATACATGCGACAAGCAAGTTAAATTCGATATTTTAATCTGCTCATCTACTGCAGCTGTGTTTTGGTTTTACACAAGTACAGTGTTAGGTCGGCCAACAGCTAATTGTTACAATCAAGCTCAAGTGAAAGCCAGGTACATTAAAATATGGCACCAGCTCCTCTCTACCAGCAGCAGCAGAGGGAGGTGGAGGAGGACTGATAGGGGCTAAGTTCATCATTCTTTCTAAACTTCACTCAGTATTTTGATGTCAGGAATATGATTTATTTATTATATAGAAAATGTGCAGCCCATCTCCATGTCCTTTTAAAATCTGTCCCGATTAAATTTGTAATTGAATAGCCCTGATGTAAAACATTCTTGGATGGGACATAAAGTGGACTTAATACTTAAATAGACTTAATCTTTGAAGATCAAACACTGAAGACATGAAGATTTTTATTCACTTACCACTGTTAAGTTCTAACATGGTGTACTTGCAGGTCAACTGTTAAGCTGAGCTCCTGCTTGTCTTTCATTAGCTGCGGGCAGTTCCAATCAGGGTTGGGGCCTTAATGAGGAGTATACAGGCAAGTCATTCCTCTTAGATTGCGATGAATTATATGGGTCTGTGTACCTGGAAATTGCGCAGTTGTACCTAAGACCATAGTCAACACCTTAGTGTTTCAATTCTACATGTAACTGTCAAATTACTATGGCAGGAACAGGTTATTATGAAATATATGACTCACAGACATTCAAGTCTTAACTAACTTGCCTGATTAAATAAAGGTTAAAAAATGTAATAGAAATGACCAGTTTACATGCAGGGTAATGTGTTTAGACACACAGTGACCTTTGACCAAATTACTTATCAGTGTCCTTTAAATTTTTAACATTTGAAAATGTTGCACATGTATTTTATTTTAAGTAAAATCAGATTAAAATTTTATTTGTAGTACAATTTGTGGTAAGGGACAAGAGGCAATGTACATTTAAACTTCAAACAGAAAGGTATCTGACTGCACAGATCCTTTCATCAAGCTGTAAAACAGGAGGAGACTTTTTGGCTCTCAGCTTAAATTGTTGCTACTCCAATGCTGACAGATATTATTTGAATTGTCACATGTCACATGCTTAGTTCTGCTCTAAGCTTGCAGAGTTGTGAAGATAAGCCCCTATGTTCCCTTTTATGGTTATGTTTATCTTGCAAAACTGTCTCTTCCTTATTATATGGCATTAATGAGCTGTGCATCTTACACCCAATGTTTAACTTCCTTAACTGTTTACTATGTAAGTGTATTGGATCCTCTCAGTCAGTGAAGTCTGCAGAGATAGACTATGCTGTTTCACCGAAGGGTGTATCAGCTGGATTAGGCAAGACCGATAAATTACAGAGGGGTAGCTGGGGTAGTGTTTTTTATACCATATAGCATATATTCAGTATTCACTAAATGTCATTTTGATGTCAATAATCAACAAAATAACAATTTGTGAGTTGTTGCTATGTTTATTGTGCACCATATAGTCTCTGGAAACGGAGCTCAGGTAATATTTTTATTCCCTTATTATATTCAAAAACATAATTTGTGAATTCTCAGTGGCATTAACAAGATTAAGCGTCCCAGTAACACACCCTTAACCCTCTTTGATTAGTGGCGCACTCTCAATATCACCAGAATAATCATCAGCACCAGCAAAGCACTCAGCACTGCAGCCACAAAACACTTCTGCCTGCGTTTTACAAGGACTAAAGATATTATAATCAACAGCATTATGTATATTGACATCATCCCAGCACTGCTTGCTAGCCAGTGTGTTATAATGACTGTAAAATATGATTTTATTTGCCTTTGATTCAGTTTACAATTTAAATCTCCTCTTGGTATTTTGGTGCTCTGCAGCTTGTAGACCACACTGCACCATGGGTCTTTTGTCAGGACATCAGTGATTTTGAAGACCTCATAGGGAGGAATAAGCTCCTGTCCCATTTGTTTTGTAGCAGAGTAATATGTTATATCGGCACCAAAGCACGAGTGGATCTCAAAACAAGACACGTTGCCATTAAAATCAAATGACTGCTTGCTTGAAGCTGCCCAGGTGAAAGCACCAAAACGCATGTTTCTGTTGATGACGTTGCGGTTAAACTCCTTCCACGTCCTGTGATAGGTGGTTCTGCATGGTGCCTGATTGTGCCGCAGAACTTGAATGGCGTCGGTCAGGTGGAAGTAAAGATAGTGGAACTTAAATCCCTGCGTGCTGTACTTGTGTTTGCCTGTTTTCACTGCTTTGTTGAACTCTTGTTGGATTTTTTTCATTTTTGTGTACATGTACATAACTATCGCATGTTCTTCTTTCAGGTGCTCATGCACAGGTGGCTTTGCATGTCTTTCAGCTAAAGCCCAGGCAAAACTGAAGTATGTGTTGTGGTGCCACTCGAACACGCCAAACAAGTCAATCACAGAGGCTGCTTCAGTTCGGCATCCATCATACATGTCATCAATGGAGTCTGTGGCCATATCCAGAGGTAAACTACCAGTCTTAGTGTTCTGCAGTGACATAAGAAGCAGCTACAGTGAGCAAAATCAACAAATACAGAAGGTTGATAATATTCAGTAAATTGACTTGGAAAATCTTTAATTGTGATGACTGACTAAATCATTTTTCTGCTCTTCTTGACACAAATAACAAGTTAACTGTACATGTTTCTGTTGCATGTAGTAGACAGAACTTTCAGGAAGGCTGAATGCAACGGCAGGGAAACAGAGGCGTGGACCCAAAATGCAGACCTTAACAAGGCTAGATCAGTTTGCAGGTTCATTTTAATGATAACAGTCACTTACAGAAAGGTCCAAACACACCACACCACCAAGCAGGTAGGGTAATTAGTCACAGGTTAAACAAATAAGCAATCAAGGCAAACAGGAAACAAAGCCACCCAACACCAATGATTACAAAATAAAATAGCTACTGACAATACATAAGGATGTAAGTAACTAAATACAACAGAGAACAAGGGAGCAATGATCAACAAACAAAACCTAAACAAGAACACAGAGGCAATGGGTAAAACAGAAATGGGTATTTAACAAAATAACAAACAACAAACAAAACCACCACACTCAAATCCAAGGTTGTGAAGAATTGTCATCTCACCTCAGCAGGTTTCATAGGCCACCAGAGTAGTAGAAATGGGTCATGATACAATAAGAGCGCCACTGCCAAAAACAAACAAAGGGCTGTCCAGTTTTTCAGTAACTTCAGCTCACACACTGGTCGTTTGCCAAACTTCATATCTGATTGAAAAGAAAAATACATCTTATGACTAAAAATGACTCTTAAAACTCTTTCAACATCATCAATGTGCATCAGACTTTGCATTGCCAGCCTAGTGGCTGAAATGTAAGAATTAAACAATAAACCAGTAGTCACACAATATTTCCATGTGGTCGGATCTATCAATAAACATCTGCATGTCCTCCACCAACACTATGAAATTTGATGTTTTCGGCTTACCTTTCACCTGCCAAGTGCTTTCATCAGCAGCATGATAATCCTTTGAAGAAAAAATGAAATGTGGAGAGTGTGGATGCAGTGTTGTTTCACACAGCACAGAGATTCTTCACTACCTTTTACCAAAAGCATCAGCATATGTAGCCTGTCTGACATGTGATGTTTAAACAGTGTTTGATGAGAAACCACTTAACAAAAGAAACAGTTTTTCTAACCTCATTGTGTTTTTCTTTTCTGAGTTAGCAGCATATTCTCATGCTATGTGTGTGCATCTATCCATCAAGTGTAAATTGAACCTTTTCTCAACTCTGGCTTTTCATTTCCGTGTTTGCATTGGGGGTGTTCTACATGTTTTACATCAACACTAGTAAATCTGGTTTGGTAGCTTGCTCAGGTAAAACAAACAAAGGTAAGTCATCGGGTTGCAAAACACAGAGGGCGCGGACTAAAGCAAACATTTTTCACTCTGAAAAAAGGTTGTATAATTACAGCTCATCTTCTCAGATCAAATACAAAACTTACCACAGCCGCAGTGTTTACAGGGAGAGTCATGAGTCCCATTCCCTTTAAGTCGATTAAACTGTAAAAAGGCTGAAGAAAATAATTTAAGCTAACTCTCGTACAATACATGAAATGTGCTACCGCGACCGTGCTCAGTTCCAGTAGTTAAGAGGCATTGCAGGTTTTTCTTCATCTCTGATAGTTAACGAGTCACACCTCAGCCATTACCTCAAACGCCTCACTAACAGGAGCTCTGCAATCTGACCAGTCTCTGACATTACACCAAAATTTTCCATAGACGTAGGCTACATGTGGAATAGACAATGTGTGTGTGAATGACACCTGTGTAACGTGTTAATATTAATATGAGCCACCCCTTATAACTGTGTGTGTGTGTGTGTGTGTGTGCCATCTCTCACTTGTAGCATCCGCCCTTTCCTGCCTCACATAACAGATAAATTATTGCCCTCATGTAGGAAGCTGGGAAGACATTGTTGAAGAGACCCTTATAATTTAACACTCTATAGTTGACAACAGAATCAATCTACAGGAGTTAAGATAATCTATAAGAAGTTGCTCTCATAACAAATGGCTGTGGGCTGTGCAATAGAGGTTCCAACTTAATACGGTTTATTTAGTGTAAGTTTCCATCTACTGGAAAAATACTGAACAACATGTTTCTCCTCATTCCAGCTTTCCATTCAGGATCTGACTGATGACCAGGATGACGACTGCAGATCCAAACCTTCAGTTTTGACTGAAAAAGCCATAATGCAGAAATGGGATACCCATACAAACTTCAGTCAAGCCTGGAGCAATGCAGAGCAAAAAGCTAGAGAGCCTGCAAACAAGTACATGGAGAAACATCATTCGATTGCCATTTACATGTACACAAATAATATGCTGCAACCCATCAGGCATCAACTTATCAAGACTGTGGAAAGAACTGGAAAACAACTTAAGGAGACATTTGATTCCAGCTCCCTTTATTTTTTCCAAATGAAGCCATTCAGATTCTGAAGCAGAGTCAGGTGACATGTCTTGTACAAATTACAGCGACACTTTTAAATCTGAACAGCTCCAACAAACTGATTCGGTTCAGCGCCTTCATATTAGGTTCTGATGCTTCATGTTTTGAAGTATACACATGTTTCAGTGCTGACATAACACATTACTCAGCCCTGAAACAAAACAGCCAGGTGCTAATTCCTCCCTTATGAGGTTTTCAAGGTGACTAACATTGAGACAGATAAGCAGAGGTGTAAAGTCGTTTTCCGACTGAAGAGCAACCTGAACTGCATTTATGATGGAGAGAGCAATACATTGCATCCAATTTCTACATTACCAGTAAATGTAATTTAGCTAATTTTTACCATCACTTGTGTGATTATTGTATCTGTTTTGTTACCGTTTGTCACTGTGAAGCTGTTAGAAAACCATCAGAAAATATGGGATTATTTTCCTATCTTTATTCAAGAGCATGGTCTTTCAGTTTGACAGTATGATTTGTTGATTTCACTTTCAGATTTTGCAATGCTTTCCCTCAAAACCCATCCTGCCTTTGCACTCAAACAGCCCGCGCTCGCGCTTAAATGTGCTGTTCTGCTTCTGCTCACACTGTTGCTTGCACAGACTTCCTGCACTTCAGCTTCAGCCCTTCTCTTCGCCCTCAGGCTGCTTCTATGCGCTCGTGAAACATTTGTTATTTTGTCATACTTGTGGCATGAGAATCAATTCTTAATCCCCAAATGAACAGACTCACATTCTTGGACGCAACATCTATGCATGTAAAGGCGATGATGGGAGCAATGGCTTTGTCCAAGTAAATGACACTGAGATAGTTAGCCAGCATTCATAATACCAGGACCCCGAAACTGAGGCATATAAAGGGAATTCAGCCACGATTAATTTTATTGTTTACACCTGTGCCTTTCCCACTGTACACACATGAAGAAAATGAATGCCTCCAAAAACAAAACAATAACAAAAATGACCTCCAACTTCCTATTGTAGTATCCAATATTTGTGCATTTGACTCATAACAGTTCAAAATAGCACTGTAGCAGTAGGACAGAGGGTCAGTGACCTTCTACGGGGAGAGCAGTGATTGGTGGTTATGTAGTGAACTGAACCCTTCTATAGAATTTGACCTCTAACCCCTTGTTTTGTTACTTCAAAATAGTATTGTACCCTTCTATGTGTTTGACCTTTTATTTTGCAGACTCAAACCCTTCTATGGTACCTAACAGATACCTAAACACATCCTATATAAGCTATGTTTGATGTACAGAGAGACAGAGTGGCCATCCGGCTGGGTCACTCTCCAAGCTGCTGCAGAGCTTGTAATTGATGCTGAACTCCTTGATTTAATAAACTTTTATGATCAAGAACAGTGTCAAGCGGGTTTCCTCTCAACACATCATCACAGCAGTATTGTTCAGACACCACTCTATACACACAAGCCATCGTACATACAGACAAACCGTGTTTGCAGGACAGTGCTCATCACAAAAGTGTTGAGGTGATGGCTGCACAAGTGAGCATGCCATGCCATTCAAATGAAGCTGCCTATCAACCCAGTTGGACCAGCCACTGTTAAGCACAAGCAGATACAGTACATGTAGATTGAATATCTGCTTTTTGCTTGGCTGACAGTAGGATTTGGAGGCAGCTTAAAGGCACATTAGGTCAGGGCTACAGAATGGTGTCAGACCTGTAAAACAGCTCAGTAGATTTATGAAGGCACAGCCTTCAGATCATCATCAGAACATCATTTAACATGAATACTGGGCTTCTTCAAGGAATATTCACCCAACTTTTGGCACATTTTACTGTGCATTGATAACAGAGGAATGTTACTTTACAAGATAGTCTTTGTCACAGTCATGCACACACACATTCTTCTCCAAAATTTCACAATCACTTGTTGATGTATTAGGACAGAGTTGAAAAATTCACCACTTTGAAATGTCAACAACCTCACTGAGGGAGTGAAGACGTGAAAGTATGTCAGCGACTTCAGCTCCCAGTCTATAAACAGAGGAATGTTAATCTTCTCGACCATGTTGTTTTAGTTTGCGCACAATCACTCACACATTAATATGTCAAACAAAGCCAAGACACAAAGACATACTTTTACGCAGTGTTTTGGAGGTTCACACTGTGGCACCACGCAAACAAAAGATTACCTGCAATTTGTTGAAGAAATATTTTGAGCCAGGTTCAGGTGAGAAGAAGTAGTTTCGGAGACTGTTGTGACCTGGCACAAAGGCCACAACAAAAGGGAGATGCACCATGGTAAACATTTAACAAAATATGTTTATTTAAACCAAGGTTAAGCAAACTTAAAAGGGTATTTCAAACTAATATAACCAAAGTATGAGGTATGTAATCTGTTTCAGTAGTGTCTGGGCAGAATGTTGGTTGCATGAGTGTGTATGTGTGCAGGTGTTGTAGTATACAAAAACAAGGTAAATACCACAAAGTAAGAGTCCAAAAACCAAAGAAAGCCAAACTAAAGGAGAAACCGGGGAGCCGGCTGCAGAATGAGAGAACAAGTTACAAATAGCCTACACTCAAGACACAGGGCCCAGGAGCTTTCAGTTAACATAACCAGCTCTTGAGCAACAAGGGGGAGAGAGAGAGACCACACCCACTCATGACCCCACAAGGCATCACAGAGACTGATGAACAAAAAGCATGGTGTATTGAGCCGAGGAAATACAGTGCCAGCATACAACATGTGAACACGTCAAATGCCAACACCAAATCTGAAGAATAACATGTTTTGGTCCCTTTTTTGTTTCTGTCTTCCCCCTAGTTCCTGTAAGTTTCCCTAGTAGGTCATCTTAAACTGGCCTTAACCTAGAACAACAAATCTATCAGATGTTCAGACTCCAATGTTACGTCATATTTGAATCTCTTTCAATCCATGAGTTGTACTCTAATCTGTGGAGCCAGTAAATTCTTGAAAACATTCTTGGAAAGCCTTAACTTTGTCAGATTCACCGAGAACACCGATATCTATAGCCTGATGCCTGAGCTACTGTCTTTAACTAAGGGTCAGCTAATGACTCCAAACTGGACTTTCCCTGATACATAATTAAGACCCCTAAGAATATTCTTTAACAGTTAATCCACCAGAGGCACTACTGTGCAGCTATTGATGTGCAGGGGTTTTTCAGGGTTTTTCCTCTGATTTGAGATTAGTTTTGCTCAGATGAAAATAGGACTGACATTTCAATACCATCATGAGACAGAAAGAAGAAAAGAAACTGTTACTGATACAAGTTGTTGATGAACAGCTAAGCGCATTTAGTGTACACTGTATGCAGTCCTGTCGTTGCAGTGATCTTCCCAGGTGTGTTACCATTGTGCCAGCACAGAGACATATAGTAAACCAAACCTGTGCTTAACAGCCATATCTGGCAACCTGTGCTAAGTGCTGTGGACAGCAGATCAAGAAATAGTCACAGCATGTTGACTTCCCTTCAAACACAGAGTACAGAGTATCTAAACAAGATACAACTATCTCAGGAAACACATAGGTGTACACACAATGTAATCTGAGTGTGAACATGGAATGCTGACATAGTAAGAGTGAAGCAGTGCCAACATCTGAATAAGGCTGGACTGTTGAAAAGCAGAATAAACACAGGTAAGAGTGTGTAAAATGTATTTAGATCTTCTGTATATTGTTAACTAAATTAGTATTACAGTTACACCTATTTAGTAGCATTTGTAATTCATTTGATTATATCACATTGCTATTGCCATAACAAGCTTTTTAAAGTAATATAGCATTTTATCTATAGAAAATAAGAGGTTACAGTCTCTCATATTAGATCTAACATTCCGAAAGTAGCGCTTATTTTCTTGGGGATTGTGTTGGAACTTTAGAAGTAGAGATTCTCATATTTGACTAAACAATATTCACTGGGTCTATGCCAACCCTGAAATTTCACAAGCAAGTGCACATGCATTTAAAAATCCTATAATAAAAGTATGTTCTCGCCAATGTCAATTTTAATGTCATTTAATGCTTACTAATGCTCTAATGCACTAAATCTATTTGTTTAATGTTATTACTGATTTTCTCTTTCTTCCTCAGGTGTTTTCACTTACCACAGGTTGCCTCATTACACCTGGTTCACCTCCAGATACCTCTCTGTGCTTGACCACAGTGTTTACTGTTTATGGCGACCCACTGTGGAATTACTGCACACAGTGGATGGGAAATAGACTACTAAAATTCCCCAGCCTCTGGACAACTGGTGAAGGAAAGAGTGGAAAACACTCTAACACAGAGGAGTTAGGACAGTTGAGAAAAGTTTAGAGACAGTCATCATCCAGATTTCTTCTTCCAACTTCATCATCCTTCATCATGGCTGCCAGGCAGAGAGCCATGTTCCTCGTGGTGGTGGCCTTCTTTCTGCCAGGCCTCATTCACAGCTTCAAACCACTCTTCTCATTTGATGGGAATTCCACAACTCACCGTGACATCACACAAAGGGCGGTCCTCAGAAAGGCAGCTGAAGTCTGCCGAGACATTGCTGCTTCCGAGGGACGGGACTTCAGCCTGACTGTGAGCCACACTGAAACAGTGAAACTGGGATAACTGTGATGCATTAAAATATCCAGATTCAATATTATATGTTTTGAATTCATTTCTGTTGTGTGACATTTTTCCACATTATGATTTTTGCGGTATATTACTACAATGTTTCCCCAGAAGTTGGGGCAATCAAACATGCAGTCTTACTGAAGAAAGTTAGGGTCAACTCTTTGGACAGGCTGAAATAAAAAAGAAATAAATTGATTTGTTCTTTTTATTCTTTCTTTCTTATTGGGTTCTGGCTCCCGCATTGCAGTATGTGTCCAGACCTCTAACATAGTTTTTCCTCAGAAAAGACATGGAGATGGAAATATGACTCTATTAATGACGGATACAACAACAGTGTTTTAAACAGAGTTTTTCAAACATGTAGTCAGTAATTTGTCATGTCTTTGTCTCTAGGTTGATGACAGCCTGTCAGTCGACCAAGTGCAAAGAGCCTGTTCCTCTACAAGTACCCCGACTTCTCTCCGCCCAAATGTCATGTTCCGATCTTCCATTGCCAGTATGTGCTTCAACAATGCACAAGTCGATGTGATTTTTGCGCTGAGTGAGAAGCACCATTTTGATGATGAGACATTCCAGGGAGGACGGGATCTCATCACAGCAGGTACTCCTCATACATTGCTTTCCTACACAACAAAAACAATACTTCAAATTAGCACCCACGTTAAGGTACTATTATATAAAAAGCAATCTTTTGTTTACATTTGGTGTCACACTGTTCTATAGTATAGTATACCAGATGACACAGCAATGCCCTTATCAGTTCTATAACTTTGTAAGTCATATCTTTTAGGAACAGAAAATTCAGCTCAGTAGAGGTGAATAAAAAAATCTATATAAATACCAATATTTACCAAATAAACAGTAAGAACTGCACAAGGCAATTTAGCCAGCTGGTTGTACCAAATGTCAAAAAGAAAAATTGTTCTTACTGGTTTGAACTTTGAGGCTTCAACACATAGGATTCACCTAGATTAAATTAGATCTAATCATTAGATTAAAGTCAGGATAATTTACTGCAAATCAAGAAGACAAGAACAATTTATTATTAGCTGCATGCTGTGATTCAGGTTTTGTGAATGAACATATTTTGACATCTTGCACTGTACACCTAACACTCTCTTGTCTCTGTTCTACTGTCAAGGTGTGTCTGCTGTGAAGGCCAGTGTGAAGCTGAACAACTTTGTCACAGCAAGGTGGACTCTTGGACGAGTCTGCCACACCCTACAGGTGAGATTGATGATTATTGTTACAGATTTTTGTGGGGATGGCGGAGTCCTTCTGGAGGTGAGATGCATGATCAAAACAACAAGTAATGATTTTGTGGTAAATGTGGTTTCACAATCTGTATATTAAGGACTTCTACAGCCACAGTAACTGGGTGGAGCTGGGGAAAACCACTCCTTACAGCACTCTGATTAGACCAGACCAACCTCTTGAGAACCTGGCAGGTAGGATCCTGCTGTATATGGCTACAGAGTGTGGTTTCAACAGCTTCAGCAAATGTCCACCCTGCCATGGCTCAAAAAGCTTTACAGAAACCCACACACAAAACCACACATGAAAATGGGTACATTTTTATTCAAAACCTTTAGCATATTTAATTCAACACACATGCCTGTAGGTTAGTACCCTCACCGTTTTTTTAACTAAGCTACATCTAACTGTTGACAGCCCATTCACCATGATGGCTCTGCCCATTCAAGGAAATTTCTATATTTTAACCGATTAAAATCACCAACGATTTACACAATTTATTCAGCGACAGAAATCATTAAATAATACTTATTCACATCAGTTAACATAATCTAGTATGAATACAATTATCAACAGTAATAGAGATATTGTGTGAGGTTTGTGGTTGAATTTGCTGCAGGCCCAAGTACTCCAACCTGTAGAAATTGTGCAGGAAAGAATTGTGCTAACAACCTTCTGCCCGACCTGCTGCAGCAGGGGCTTCTCACTTCAGGCTACTTCAACATATTCTCCTCAGCAAAGCCTGCAGGTAACTTTAAAGAATCATCTACATTTTTGTTGTATTAAAATATTAGTATTTTTTAAACATATGTAGGTAACATAATCGATAACTCTGCTCTGAGGTAAATGCAGCCACGGTGGATCATTCGACCGGACAAGCATACAGAACCCAGTGGGGGGCATAAACAAGGACGAGGTTGGATCCAGTCATGGGTCACTTCACCACAAAGCAGCTGATTTGGCTGTGACTGCCACTATGGAACTACTGGAGGACATCAGAGTAGCTGTCGGAGACAAGAGTTTCCTGCGGTATGGGCCACCTTCAGCTAAGCTGTTTTGTGACCCTTCTACAAATGGAATAAAAACATGGCCACTACAGGATGGATGTAGTGTAGATGGAGCTGTAACACTAGATAATAGCAAAGGTTAAGCGCATGTCTCCATGCCTCATGCTTCATTATGAAACAAATTTGCTGATAGCAAACAGCAGTTATAAATATTCTAGATGTCTGAAAAGCTCAGCTTTAACCAGTACGACTGGACTTTTTCTGTCTTTCATAATACAAAAAAGCATGCTTATTGGGCTCCCTCTCCAGACTAAAACTAAATACTTCTATGCTAGGCATGATCATTTGAAATATTTTCTCATAATGTATAATACAATGTTGATTGGGAGTGCAGTTAAGCAATGTCTAATGTTGCTAAAGTTCTCCACAACCCCTGTATTTCGATGATTTAGTAATCTTAATCATCAAGGTCACATGGTAATCACAGATCACTGACAGATGAATTGCCCACGATTAACCTGATAATTGTGTTTTGTCTCTCTCTTGTTCCCGCAGATTGATGGGCCTCTCCCAGTCCTCTGTGCTGTGTTTTGTCATTGACACCAGAGGCAGTATGAGCAATGACATAGCCGAGGCTAAGAGAGTTTCTTTCCACATCATTGACAGTAAGAAGGGAACCCAGCAGGAGCCCTCCGCCTACGTACTGGTACCTTTCAATGAACCAGGTACAGACCTATTTATAGTTCATGAGCAAAGACTGTTGTTGATTATTAGAATTTACTGGCTGCCTCTGACAGCTTCCAAATAAAGTTTGCCTATTTCTACATTAAGAAAAAGTAAGCAAAAGTACTTTAAAACTGCACATTTAGATACCATTGTAAACTCTGTGTTCTTTTCTCCCAGCTGTCAAAGTAAAATGTATGAGTGACGGTAGGTGGTGGTAACAGTTATGTATTATATATCCAGGTTTTGGACCTTTGATTACAACAACAAATGCAGACGTCTTCAAAGATGGTATCAACAAGCTGTCTGCACGTGGAGGAGAAGACCTCCTAGAGTCGTGCTTGTCTGGACTGCAGGTGTTGACAAAAGTGTTTTCATTTAATTTAGACACCAAAGGTAAAGCAACAAAAGGATATAATCAGGACATGAGACAATTCTACTTAAAGTCACTAACTTTGCTTGCTAATATCATATATATTAGGGATAAAATGGAATTCTAAACCAGCCATACTTACTACTGAATAAATCAAAATGTAAATCACTTTTCATTTAAATCAAAGTTTAAACCTGACAAACTTTGATTTGAATGAAAAGTGATTTACATTTTGATTTCATTTCAGGTCATTTTTAAAATAACTATAATAAAAATAACAATAATAATAATAATACATTGTATTTGTTTTTCATGGTACTCTTAGACACTTCACAGGAGTCAAATACAGAACTACAGAGGTTAAAAAGATCATAGAAACACTCCATACACACACACACACATACTGTATATATATATAAATTCTAGACCATTTTTGATAAATAATCTTTCTTGTCCCATATACAAATGACAGCTTGCACTGACTGCTGCTCCATGCTCATCTGAGATCTTTGTCTTCACTGACGCTCCAGCTAAAGATGCTCATCTGAAAAGCACCATCACTGCCCTTATAGAGAGCACCAAGTGTGTGGTAAGAATAAGGTTTTTATTTTATTATCAATACATTCCATACAGATTTAATAAAGTTGTATTTAAACAACATGTATCCAGTTCTAATATGACCTTTACATGTATTATTTTCTTTTTCTTTCTTATACTTTTAGGTAACTTTCATATTGACAGACATCCTGGCCAGTCGGTGGCCATGGGGCCGCAGAGGTCCACGTACCATGAGCCAATCAGATGCCCAGTTGTACCATGACCTAGCTCGAGTCTCTGGTGGTCAGGCCATAGAGGTCACCAAGTCAGACCTCTCTTTGGCTACAAGTGTCATAGAGGATTCATCTGCCAGTGCTGTGGTAAGATGTCAAACAAGAAAATAATACCTGACTGAAGACGGTACTGTACAGTTTAAATGTGCAGGTTATGTTCATTCTTCTTTCAGGTGACAGTTTTTCAGGTAGTGAGGAATCCTGGAAGGCCTGATACTTTTACATTTACTGTTGATGGCTCTTTAAGGAACATGACTGCCTACATCACAGGAGCCTCATCTCTCACCTTCAATCTCACCAGCTCCACAGGTATGGTTACTGCTTTTTACTCTCAAGTTAAGACTAGTTTTGATTGATTAAATATATTTAGCAATATATTTAACTTTGTTTGTGCTTGTAGAGAACAGTGCTGTTTTAATATGTTTCTCTTTTTTTACAGGTGTGTCTCAGAGTTCTAGTCAGTCCAGCGGTCCTCTGGCATCTTTTAATACAGCAGGAAACCTACGTCGTTTGAGCATCAACATTGAGAATCAAACAGGATTGTGGGAAATCAGTGTTTATTCCAATAACGCCTACTCTGTTAAGGTCACCGGTAAGTAATATTATATAGATTGTATTATAAGATTTTATTTTGTGGGTCTTTGGCAGTTGTATTTGCCTTTGTAACTGGTAGCCCTACCAGTCTGGTTTGTGTTTGTTTGTTTGTTTGTGTGTATACATCAGGTCAAAGTTCAGTGAATTTTATTTATAACCTTGTGGAAGCTCATAAAAGAAACCACACAGACTTCAGTCTAAAGGAGGGACGTCCTCTTTCAGGTTAGACCATTTTTGTTATTATTCTTGCCTTCATATTTTCAGTTTGTCCATCTCTAGTGTGGCATATATTGTAAGACTGAAGCTTTTCTCCTTATGGTCCTCAACATCTTCTTTTCAAGAATCATAATCTGCTTCCTTTGAAAATCCACTCTTACAGTCACCAGAATGGTTATGATTGCAGTCCATCAACCCTAAGCTACTCCGTCTACTCCAGAGCTTTAGTTGTGTACATTATGTCAAAGGACCTGTCACAGTGAAACTCATCTAGTTGTCTTTTCTCTCTTGCCACATCTTTGAGGTGGAAATGCCAGCCTCTTGGTCTCTGTGACAGGAAGTGACACAGTAAAGGTCACAGAGGTCGCTCTGTTTGACAGCTCCGGGGCAACAGAGGTCATTGGATCATTGCAGGCATGTCACATGTTACTCTTAGGACCTCTCACATCTTTAATACTAGAATTAAATTAGAATTAGATTATGATTTTCATATTGTGTTATATTGATTTGGAACCACCGACTGTCTGGAACGTAGGAAATCAAAACTTTGGTAAGCTTTGAATGGTGTCAGTGATACAAATATATACAGTTCATATACATATGAGTTGAATTTAATGGGCACACAGAACCTTAAGTCTAGTTATTTAATCTATCATTGATTTCAAGAAAAAGCATGAAAGTCTACATAATTTGTGGCATAGACCAGGCAAGTGTTTTGATGAAAGATACACGTTTTGTTGGTCCAAATTACAGAGAAAGAGAGAAATGGGACTTGTCCCCACTCCCTGACCTGACACACTGACTTTTAAAATACTGTATACAAAGCGAGATTGCAGGAAGATAATAATACAAAATGGCACTAGTACTCAATAGTAATCAAACTCTTGCTAATCTGATCATTTCGTGTTACTGGCATACCATTGTGACAACATTTGCCCTTCTCTTTCTGTCCTCCACAGTCAGTGGGAAGTGGTAACTTCCTGGTCACATTCACTGGAGTCCCAGCAGGTGACTTTGTGGTTCGGCTGAGAGGGGAGGACAGCAGCTCCACCTCCAGGTCAAAACGGAGCAGCTTCCAGAGACAGGCCTCGACACACATCAAGACCTCCAGCATCTCTGTTACTGTGAGCTCAATCATCCTCAGGTTTTCTGTCTCAGTAATATTGCTTCAGTGTTTATAAAGGTAATGATATTAACAGGTTTTCATGGCTGCTGGCCTAGCTGTTGTTAAGTGTCATCCAATAAAATTATCAGTTGTATTCTCCTCATACTTAAATTAATAGTAGCAATATTATTATAGTTAAGCAAAGACTAAAAGCAAGAGTCTATTTGTGTCTCTGTGAGGCTGTGTTTAGGCACAGTGGTAACTGCTAACATCAGCATGCTAAACATGGTCACAATAATAATAATAACCAGAGTGGTGCTCAAGGAAAAGTCAGGGGATAGCCACTAGGCTTTATCCTGTGGAGACCATGAATGTCTTTACAAAACTGAATGGCAATTCAATAGTTTCTGAGGTATTTTATATTAGATATATTTGGACCAAAGTGATGGACTTACCGACATTGCCATCTCTAGATATATACATAGAATATATAATATCACATTTACAATACAAAAAGGTTGATCACTTTTGTCTTCTCCTTTCTTCTTCCCCCTTCCAAGACTTCAGCCATTGGCAATTATATGTAATAATGAGATAGTTTTATACTATTGTTGGTTGACTGGAAATATAAAGACAAATTTACATTATCCTAACCTTCTCAAACTTGTTTTAGTCTGCCACAGTGTCTCTGTGCTCACTATACTAAGACCCAACAAAGGAAAATAATTATGTTTTTTGTATTTAAGACCCTTTCCTCTGTACTTCTTTCCACTCAACAATACTATTAAACAAGCGGACACCCACTAACATAAAATGACATACAATACAAAAAAGATGTAAAACTACAATATTTTCACATCACTTTTCAGGCCCAAGCCAGCCACACCAACATAGAACCAGGCTCCACCATCTCCATCCCTTTCACAGTCGCCACAACCACCAATGGAGTTGTTAACGACTCTGCAACTAGGACATTTGCAGTGCGAGCCAACAGTGACCGCGGCTATACTTTAACTTCACCCAGCATGGTCATCATAGCAGCGGGCAGTGGTGGCAATGGCAGTGTGACCTTAACAGCACCAGTCAGCGCTGTATCAGGAACAGACGTGACCCTTACCATTGAGGCAGAAAATGCAGCTGCCACTGACAGCAACTACACTGTCCTCAGGTTTTCTGTGGCTGCCAAGGTAAGAGAAACACTCCTGTACTGTAGTTGGATGTGGAATAAAAGGAAGCAGGTGAAAATGAATGGTGGTTAGGTGAAAATCAAGAGCCAGAGAAGCCAGTAGTACTGTATGTGCAACATTTTTCGCTATCAAATCAGTTATAATGAATTATGATCAAATATAATAATAATAATAAAAAACTTAAATAATAATAAAACTTAAATTAATAGCCCGGGTTTTCATTTACATAAATCTGAACTCACCCTGCCTTTTTCTGGGACAGGTATCTGTATGGGACAGGCCTTTAATTTCTTTACCATATTGGTAAATCTGAATGAATAATACTTTGGTGTTCTGTAAAATTAACTGAATGATTGAACTGTGGAAAATCTAACCTATCTACCAATGTGTAGTGTGTCCAAACTGACAAAAAGTTTAAACATTTATATAAGTATGTATGATCTAAGCAGCTTAGAACTAGCTCAAGCATATAACCCGGTGGGCATAAGAGGTTTTATACATCCAAAGAACTTTTTAGAAAATCCAGACCAGGCCTCAAATTAAGAACAGTTGTGTTTATTTGTCAAAATGTGTAGCCAGGCCAGGCCAGTAAAAGGGACCAACATCTAACTGGGACTAGGCTTTTAGTTAAAGTTTTACGGTACATAATAAATTCTGACTGCTCACAAATAAGACGAAAGGAGATATGCTCGGTAGCCATTTCCCATTGGTGTGTTTTATTATGGCGTGTTCTTTTTTGCCCGTTTACTTTCTTTGATGGTAGCCTTTTAGTGGTGCTTTTTGGTTAAGTATGCTAATGTGTAAAAGTTTGTCATAACAAATACTGGTGTTACATTGCCATTCGTAACTGATCAAATGAATTGCCCAGTTTTGTGTACTTTTTCTTTGTGTGATGCCCCATTCCTGTCTTATTTTTTCATTTTTTTCCCCTTTGTCTCCAGGTGACAGATGTTACCCGTCCAGTGTGCCAGGTAGTCAGTATATCAACTTGCTGTCTGTCCTCTTCATCGCTCTGTGCTTCCTCCCAGTGGGCATTCATCGCTAATCTCACTGATGGCATCAATGGAACTGGCATTGAGAGCATCACCATCCATCAAGGGAACGGTACCCTGAATAGCTCAACGGCAGGAGGACATGGTGAGAACATTACAGTGGCTACTTACAGCGCCTCCTGCAGTTCACAGAATGTAGTGCTGGCAGCTGTGGACAGAGTAGGTAATGTGGGGACCTGTGTGGTACAAGCCAGAGTGTCTGCCACAGCTTCACCTGTGACTGCAGTTAGCATGACTTCCACTGGAGGTCACACTTTGAGCATATCGCACTGTCTCTGGATCAGTGTTGTGGTTTCTCTCCTTTGAATGGAAAAATCATCATGTGTATCTCTTAATGTCTAATCAAATGTAGATGGGCCTGGGGGGGGGGAGGAATCAATCATCTCTCTTACAAATCAATAGTAAAAATGTAAAAAGTAACAAGTGTACCTAGTTGTTGACAGGTTGTCTTGTCTACTAAAAATTAAAGAGTGATTTCTTTCAACATCCACCTACAAAAAGTAGTTAGAAAGCAACAGAGCTGTAGTTATTTCATGTTAGAACAAGTGGGCCAAGTCATAGTCTGCTCAATCATTTTGAACTTGTACTAGTATTTCCATTTTATGCAACTTTATACTTCCACTACATTTAAGAGAAAAATATTGTACTTTTTACTCCACTACAGTTAAGCAGTTACTTTGCAGATTCAGATTTTACATACAGAGCACACGATCAGCTTATAAAATATGATGCCTTGTTAAATATCAAGCTACCAAACAACATGTAAGTACATGTTGCTGCTAATCATTTTCAACATCTACTAAAGTAAAATTTTGAATGCAGGACTTTTACTTGGAATTGGAAAGGATCTTACTTCTTCATACTTCTTCCTTTATTGTAGGTATGACTTTACACTTCAGTTATCCACAGAAATAAGAATAAACACACCTGAAAACAAAAATAGGTCCAGAAATGCATCACTAGTGATTGTTAAATAGTGTTAGTGTTTAGGGTGGATTTTTCCTTTAAATGGTTTAAATGGACCAGATGCATGGCGAATGCACATCATCACCAGCTGGTGGTAATTTGCAAGCTGCACAGTATGGTTTTCATGGGCAAAACATACCTGAGGGGTTATGTGGAGCATGCACTGTGAACAGAATGAATAATAACACTGCTGTAATAGCTAGTAAAGTTTATTTGTCTACTTCAGAAAAAGTTAAACAATAATTACAACAAAGAACCAAATTAACCTCAAAGGGCAGTAAAAATATGACAAATACAATAATAGTTAAAGTGGAAGAACTAAGAGTGACTTCCAGCAGCCGAACACGAATGGCACTTCTGGGGCCTGTTTCACAAAGCAGGATTAATGTAGAACGGTGGATAAGTCAGAACCACACCTGATCTCCAACACAAAGTGAAGTACACTGAGCTGCTCATGGCTTTACTCAGTTCTGCAGCTAACTCAGTGATCCTGGTTGGTGAGACAGGTACCAATTATCAAGAGACAGCACAACAGCCTGATCAAATGCAAACTGCATCAGGAGGAGGGCAAGTAGGTGAAAAGCTTGGTCCTTTTAACCAAAGAAATAACGATAAACTACTACTTGATTTTGCTTTCAAACAATACAGCAACCACAAAATCAAAGTACAGCCGGTTTACTACAAAAAAAGAAAGAAACAGAAAAAGCAAATCACCTCTCAATTAACATGGCAAGAAAGCGTCAAAGCAGCCACTCGACTAAAAAGAAAAGCTTTTTTTTGTTTCACAACTTGTAAAAATATTTGTGCCCCGCAGGGTCACCAAAAGCAACTGGAGAATCAAAAGTGCACCACTACAATGAGGAATCTTGATACTCGATTGAGAAGAGTTAACTTAACTGAATTCAGTATCCTCAAGAGATAACAATGACCTCATAGATACAGACACATTACTCCTAGCAACAAACCTTTAATTCATGTCTGTTTAGCACAAATGCTAAAGAATATCCTCTGTATTTGAAATCTTTGAGAACATTCATGTCACATCAGTAATGCAACTTGGAGCAGATTCAATGTAAGAAACCTACTATATTAGTCATCAACAACAGTATTTACAATACCTAATAGTTTACTCTTTTAAACAGAGCAGAGTTTAATGTTACACAATTGGATATTTTGCATTACTTTTAATAACCCATGGTAGATCAAATATAACCCTGGATCTCTGTGTTCCTGACAAGAGAGATGGTCAATCCCAGAGTTGTATGTATGTATAATCTATACATAATAGATCAATACGGAGGGCCAATAACTGGTATATAACATTTTTATCCTCCAAAAGGCAAAGACAAAAGCTACAGTTACAGATAAATAGCTACAGTTGTTTTTTTGTTTTTTTTAACAAAAGCAAGTGAGAAACTGTACATAATATTAACAGTACTTTATGGCAAGACCACTGAGGACTCTCTCCTCGACATCACTATGCTGTATTATAGGACTTTGGTCCAGCAAACTTACCAAGACTGTAATGTAACACATTTCTTCATTGTCAGATAAGATGTAAAAGACTGGAAAGTGCAAAATGCATTTGCGCTGTAAAGTTAGAAGTAATTGGTATGAATGGGGGAACAAAAATTTAATAATTTTCAAAAATATAATAACAAGTTAGCCCTGTTACTTGAGAGTCTGATGACGTCATTTGATATGATTGATTTGATCCGATTATGTTTTAGTTCTGCTACTGTATTAAGGGCTGGAGCCCATTTTTATTATTGGTTAAATGCAACATTTGACATAGAAAACAAGCAAAGAAATGTGATGACATTTTGTTTCTATAGAAGAAATATAAGAGATTCTGGTTTACACACACATAGGAGATGATATAATTGTTGCATGCAGAGGCACTGAGTTGAAAGATCGAAGGCCTATATTCTCTGGGCATGCTTATGTTTCACTCAAAATCTGCTTTTTCTATTATACAAAATTAGTATAGAGCTTCCAAAGTTGGCATTAATTTTTCTTTCACCAAATATACTCTGCCAAACCATTCATTTACAGTATATACATATATACTTACATAATATGTATATATGTTGTGAACATTCCATGCAGCATATAAAACCCTCTTTGAATATCATTGTGTGGAAAAAGGGGGTTTAAATAGTAACTTGCTGTAATTATGTGTTTGTTTCTCCTTCAGGGTTTTAGTTGGTAACCAGCAGTACAAGCCCACCACAAATAATGGGTCACTGCAAACTATGTTCCCATTTCAAAATAATTTTTCAAGCCCACCAAAGCACTGGCTCAGTATTACAACCAGCACTGATAAAGCACTGTCAGCATTTCTGCAAATGCAATGCAGCTAACAAAGCACATACTCAAGTCAGCTTGATACACGTGCCCCTCTCCTCAAATCAAGTTTTGAGTTTCTATTACCTCCACTGTGCACAAAGGTCAGTCAATGTGTAAAAACTCCTCAAAATGGCCTTGTTCCTACATATGACATTAAAGTGATTTACTGATTTGATAAAATTGGATCATGTTTACGTCACATGAGATTTCCAGCATTAGTTTCAGGCAACATTTTACTCTTTTGTTGTACTGAATTCTCAGTCAACTTGAGTAAGATATGTGCAGTAATAAACTTTAACAGATTACATTTTTAGAATCATTAAACTGTCATGCTTAAACCGCAAGTGCAGATATAACAACAGCTTAATCTACAACGTTACCACTAATATGCAAATGCTCTAAAGCTGATGAAACACTGGGCAACTTTTTGAGCTATGTTGCTGAGCAATCTTGCTGGTGGCAAGTCTGACTATGTTTTGAGTGGAGAACAGCAGGGCGGGGTGGCGGACGGGGGAGGGGGAGGGGTGTTATTACAGTAGTAAACTGTACTCATTACCACTGACGGCAACATTGCCCAGCACCATTTCTCTAAAAGCTGCTCCGTGTATCATCAACTTAAGGTTTCTGATGTGTAAACATTCCAAGGGATAAGTAGACTGGTATAGTACATACAATAGTTGTGTACTGTTTGGCAATAAGCAGGGAGAGAAAGGTTTAGTATTATCCCTGCCTTTGGAGTATGAGCCAGGTAGAGTCCGGGAGACCTGAGGTGTAAACTCTATGATTGTACTGATCTTGCATCTTTTGTATAATTGGAGTTTGGGATGGAAAGGATGGGTGTAATCTGGTCCGCAGGCCAGTTTGGATGGCTCAGGAAACTGTTGCTAACCAGTTCGGTTATGAGGGTACTGGGATGTCTTTTTGTGTGTTACACTAACATATTAGATCTACTGTGCTACTCTAGTTTGTGTCATTGATTTCACTTCTAATTTAATACATAGTCATTTTACAGACTGAAAAAAGGACAGTATTCGTCAATTATCCATTTGCGCACATTGTCAAAACTAATAAACACCACTGACTCTGTGGTGCTAAGGCAACTACTGTACTTCATTAGTTCAAAAGCTTGAAAGCAATCAGCTCCTCTGATTGAAGAAAACATAACTAAGGAAATAATTTATTCGTATAACGTAACCGCCGCTCAACAACAAATTATTATGGATGCTCTGATGTTTTGATTAGACATCAAGGGTGGTTGTTATAATAGATGTGACATGTGGCTGGCTATGCTCACAGGAAGAGGAAGTCAGTCACATAAGGGTGGCTGAGCCTACAGCTGCCGTGATGGTATTAGTGACAGTGATGAAGTCTTCTGGAGTGATTGTTGTGTGTCCAGGATAATGGCAAATCATTGGATATGGCTAGAAAACTTGAAACTTCTGGGCACTGGTGTTTGGAGGTTAGGCTAGTCTCATTGGGCTACTAAGATAGTGGGGTTGAGGGAATAAGTAAAGCAAGCGGTGGAGGAAGACATCCCAAGGTTTCTCTACTGCTCATCCATCTCAGCAAGATCAGAGTTGGGGGAGGGCGGTGTGGATGATTGGAGGTGGTTTGAAACGGGTAGTGGACTCAGGGTAGAGCCCTGGGGGACACCACTGGGGACAGGGTCAGGAAGGGTCAAGGTTTCCGGAGCTGATTTTTTGCGGGGTCGGTCCTTGGGGACAGAGAGGGACTCAGGCGCATCAGTGCACATGGGGGTGGTGGGGGCGCTGGCAGGGCCGGTGAGGGCACAGGAGGACAGGGGCATATTGCTGATGGATATCGACGGAGGGAAAATCCCGATCTTCTGGTTGGTGGCCTCCTGGATGGTGCGCTCAAACTCTCTCACCTCATCCATTGTCATGTCTGGGTTAGGAAAAGATCAATTGAGAAAAATGAGTTGAATAATTGGGAAAGTACTTTTTAAAACTGTAATGTTCCTTAACGTCATATCATTGTTAAAGGCACAGGCATACCCCAAAAAGCACACAAAGTCAATACGAGGCTGAAAAAAAAAAAAAAGATTCAAAAACCAGAAACAAGTAATGTTATACCGTTCATTATGTTTCTAGATACCTTTTCAGACCTTCAGGGAATTTTGGCAGACTTTAATTATTATAGTCTTTACATTATTCAACAGTTCATGTATTTGACACAATCAGTGGATGTATGTGGACAGGTTTAGGTAAACTGTAACAACTTAATTTACAGTCACCAATGGTTCAAATAGGAGACAGAGGAGGAGAAACGGAGTAAAGAAACAATGAAAAAGACACATACACTTGCTTTGTCATGGATCTCTATGTCATCCAGTGAAGATGGGTTTGTTGTGGAAAGCTCTTGCTGCTCATGGCAAACTTTAATGTTGGTTTGCACATGCATTTGTCTCTCGTAATCCCGCACATCATCCAAAGTCATATCTGGAAGAAGGGGGGAGGGGTGGAACGAGGTTTGAAATGTTGATAACTCCTCTATAATGGCACTCCAGTTGACGAACAGGTGGGAAAGGAGAGGGTTGGGCAGCAAAGGCGCATTCCATGGGTGAGTATAGCAATTTTAACCAATGATTACAGCTTCAAAGCTTTAGAGGTCAAAGTGCTAGCTTCCTATGACCCAGAGAGTTTACAGGAGACAGCTAGACAGATCCGAGCCACACCAGGAAGAAGGGAGGAAAGGAAGTATGAGGTCAAGGACATTTCAAGAACATTTCAAGAACAAGGAAAAGCATGAACAATCCACACCCT